TTTTTTTTTTTTCACGCGTTCTTTGACTGTTTTTACATAATGGACCAAACCACTGGCCTGAAAAGTGTTTGGCCACTTTTCGTGCACACTGTGAGAACCTGTGTTTTCAAAACTTTAGCTTGTTATTTTTATGGTTCTGGATCTGATTTGTTTTTGCAGACACGCGCATACCCTCCGATCAACCAGATATAGGTTAAGCCATAATGCTTTTGGCACAAATCATTTTGTGCAAAATGCATTAAAATATGCGAGTGACTGGGACAGAAATTAACCAGATGGGCGCGAAATTTAGTTGACAAGGCATTAATATCAGTTTTGTGGCACTAAGCTGTGCTAATGACAAGAAAATACTCGGGTACCGAATTTGCGAACAGACGCTTAAAAGTGCCTCACCCGGGCAAATCTTGCTATGGCTGTGTTTTTGAGCAATTATTGTCCCGAAGGATAACAAGCAGCGTTTCTGTCACAAGTCCACCGTATCAGGATGTCGCGCCAGAGCTGGATTGTGTTATTCCTGCTGTCGGATTTTGGAAGCCCAGCTTTTTATGCATTTGAATTTCAGAATGATTTGCTTTACTAATTTTTCTGCTAGCTTGGATTTTTTTGACCATATCATTCTAGACACCATCACATACTGCCTCTTTGATATTTCTTTTTACATCTTCTTCTGTCTGTTTTGCATGGAACGTCATCGAGCTGCTAATTTTGTACGGTTCTCCGTTCATTTTGGAAATTAGAGGCCTGATTTTTCCATTTTTTTTTGTTTTAAGAATTATTTAACAAGCCACAAGTATCGCAATGCAGACCATGATGATTTGTGGAATGCTCTAAACACGGCAGTCCCAGATTCGCTGTTGTCGTGGGATGACGAAAAGTTGGATATACGCGACTTCGCATCCAAGTGGACACAGCAGGCACGAAATTTTTTTTTATTTTCTCAAATAGCACGTGAGAAACGGACTCGAATGAAAGCTCATAAAAGTTTAAGCTCGAAATTACTTTACGCTAAAACTACATTGCAGATGGGCTATCCGGTAGTTGAAGTACGCCGAATCGACGAGAAACGAGTGGAATTACACCAAAAGCGTTTCAAATGGGATGAAACTGCACTGGAACGTGAACAATTTCGGAATGCTAGATTTTGGTGCGTTATTGATGCATAAGCATCCTGAAAATGTGCACCACATTAAAAATTAGAAAAAAAAATCATTCATCGAATACTACCGCTGTATTTAGGTACAAATATGACATCCCAATTTGGTACGCAATAAATGGCGAAGAAAGACCGATGACGTGGCTTCATGAATGTTAGTTTTACCCAAGCACACTGGGATAAAATGAAACCAATAACTATAATGACATAAACAAAAGCCCTAAAGACAGTACCCTAGGAAGTAAACGTAAATTTAACAGCAAAATTTTGCCCCCTTCGACCAAACAATCGCTCGATTAACCAAACGACCTCTCACCATAATTTCGGCGTACTTTTTTTT